AAAATCTTATAAATATAATAAATAAATCAATTATCAACAACATCCATCAAAATAAAAATAAAGATTGAAAAATCTTTGTTATAAAAGGAACAAGGTTCATTAAATATTACATTTTAACATCTATTCTTATTTATAATTTTTATATATTTATAGCAATAAAAAGATAGATTATCAACAAACAAGAGATTCTATTTAGGAGCTATTGATTGTTGAATTACCAAACTAGATGTTGTAATTTTTACAACCTTTAAGATGACATAATAGAAATAAAGACCTTTAAGAATAATGTATTTTTCCTTGAATAGATTGTAAAATATAATGTGTTTAATGTAACAACCTTTAAAGAAACTCCCAATGTTTGATAATATTATTAGAGGTAAGAACTATTCTAGATGATGTTTCAAATATTTTATTTAAAAAAAATATATAAAAGCCTTAAGAATAATCAAATATCATAGTAATCTTTATGCTTTGATATAAAACACTATCAATGGTTGAAATGACCTATCAATTGTATTTAAAAGAAACAAAGATCAAAGTATACAACAAATACAATTTGTTGCATCTTGAACTTCTTCACATATAAATAAAAATTAAATAAAAATAAGTAATAATAAATATATTTAAAAATATCTTGTAATTTATAGATGTGATTTGACTTTAAACATGTTTATAGATAATTGACAAGTTGAAAATTTTGCCAACAAATTGGTCAAGTATTGCACATGTTGGCTATTTGTTATAGAAGTTTGTCATGTAGTGCACATATAAAACTTGTCTTACAAATTAGACATGTGTGTTATAAGTTGGACACATGTTGGAGGTCTTGTAAAATATTACCACATAGATCTTAATTAAATAGTATATATGAAGACAAGAATGAATCCTTCTTTATTCTTATCAACACCTTTTTTGTTTCTAATCTTATTTCAAGAAACTCTAATTTTCTTGTCTTTAGCAAAATCCATTCTAGTTCAATATTATACCATCTTTAAATGATTATTTATTCTTTATGAGTGACATAAGAGTATATTAATTATTTGGATTTTTGAGATTCATATTCTTGACACTTATTTTTTATGCAACTTAATTATATTATTGTATTTAGTTCTTGGATGTTTTTTTGTTATTTGTAACAATTAATCTAAATTTAAAGCAAGTAAGGTGAAAATGAGGTGCTTTTTATATATTTGCATGTTGGAACCCCATGAACATACCCTGGAAGATACCCTGGAAGATGAGGATGTTGTTCAAATAACCAAGAAGGTGTAACTCATCATATATAGTAGAGCAGGGTTAGGAAGAAAATTCTCTAGCTTTCAATAAGATTGCAGCAAGTGTCAATAGCTTCAACGCTATTGTAAAACAAGAAGTATACTAATGAAGTTGCCTAAAGGTAAATTAATGGACAAAAGTTTTATTTTTTCTCATCGTGTTCAACTGTTCAACTCATAGCGGCTTGATACTTTTTGAATATACAAAGAAGTTCTCATACATGAGGACGTCGCTTCACTTTTTCCAACCTCAACAAATTTGAAGCCCAAACGAAACAGACACTGAAAAGTGAGTTCCGAAATACTGCAACTCGGTCCTCGTCCAGCCAATCCAGTGTTTCTATCAACTTCCACCCAATGAAAGCGCATTGTGCTGTTTTCACAGGACATATTGTGAATCTTTTACAGGGAAGAAGGCAGTTGAGTTTGGTGAAGTGATTCCAGCCGTCTCCCATGGCTTACAGCACGGTGCGCCGTGACATATGACTCACAGCCACCACAGCGGCAGAACCTTCCGAAGAAGAAGCAGGGGCAATACTAGCGCAGCTTCCCTACTGAAATGATTCATATCATAAAATGTTGGGTCCTTTTCAGGTTTACAAGTCAGCCTTGGCTTCTGTCCAGGCTTCCGTGGTACAACTGCCAAGGTGCTTTTGTTTATCAATTGATCATGACAAAAGGAAAGCTCTAGGGCAGCAGCAGCAGCAGCCGCATCCGCAACAACAGCGCTACTGCAGCCGCCCTTGTGGCGCCTCGGTTGATGGAAGGGAATCTGTGATCTTTCGCCATGAGTTTGCCATTGCAGACGACAATTCTATGGAGTTGTGGCTGTCCACGAGTGAGTGCAGTGGGTGGAATTGCTAAGCCTGGGGATGCGTGCGGGGGTGGGTCCGTCGGAGACCCGGTCTTGAGCCTTGAGCTGTTGGGGGGGAGGGGCTAAATCCCTCTACGTTCCCTTAAAAATAATTGTAATAACATTGTCTTAAAATTTCTTTAATTATTTAGAGATGGGATTGCATGTGTTACATGTTTTTAAACTTAGTAAAAAATATATTATACATTATTCTTTGATATTTTGTTCTATTGGTAATATTTTTTCAATAGCAAATATGGTTACTATTTTGAAACCTGGCTAGAAAGGTTATAATGATGTTTGTACATGTCATCTTAAACATCATGTACACTTGGCTAAATGGGGTTGAACAACTAAGCATCAATTTGCACTATTTTGTACTTTCTATTGGTTAAATTCATATGCAACGGATAAGCTTATTATTTGACACATAGCAAAAAGGTTGTTAGAATTCACACATACAATATTGTAATATCTTGTCCTTACATCTTGTGAAACTTAATAAATGAGTATCACCAGCAACATCTGGTATGAAAAAAAAAAATATATATATATATATATATATATTAAAAATAAACAAGAGATAAATGTTAAATTAGATGTATAATGGGAACATTACACTTATATTATAAACAGGTAGTCATGTGTTATTTGAAAGAATGAACATTTTAATTGCAAGAGTTGCAAGTCAGTCATAACTTTCTGAAGGGAAGATTTAGGAAATGAGAAAAACATTCATCAGAAGTAGTTACTAATTGCTACATTGTATGGTAAATCTTACACATGATCAATACAAAGCATATATTTTGTCATTGCATTCCTAGTTTCAACTATTGCAAACATATTTCACATTCTGACACCGCCCAGTACATTGACTTTGATTGGAAGAAGAGTCGTGCCACATTCATCCCAGGTGCTAGAACGAGTTGAAGATTCTGAAAACACTACCATCCTAATTACCTGCACAATACATTAGTTATCATGTGTAACTGACAAATTAACTGTATAACTGAGATACTTCGAATCGCATTAAGTTACATCTTGACTTTCTTACGAAACTCGAGATTTCAGACGAACCTAGGGAAATGCAATCATGTAATTTCATGGAAGTTGGGAATTGACTTCTTGAATTTTATGCTAAAATGAAGGAATCTTTTTTATTTTTTCAGTTTCATTTTATATATATATATATATATATAGTTTTGGGGGAATGTTAAATAGACCCATGCTTTTACTAAATAGACTCACCTTTGATGAAGAATATGGTAATTATGATGAATATTGTTGGCTTTTATTGATTGCAAATTCAATAATTGAGAAATTAATCTAGAAATCATTATATTTTTTCATGATGGGTGGGTCAATTTAGTAAAACTTGGGTCTTTTTCATTCCTTTTTCCTTTTCCTTTTTTTTTTTTGTTTTTGTTTTTTTTTTTTTTGGCACACCAAGGATGCAGTTCCCATCTATGCTGCCAATCTGGCCAAGGCACAACTTGGGAGTCATGGAACTTTGGAGTTGTGGAACTTGTCTCAACTACATGCTATTAAGTACTTGGGCGAGAGTTTTCCATCATACATGGAGGTTTCATAGCCATGAATTGAACCTCTGATTGTGACATTTGCTTTGGGTACCTCAATGCCATCATCTGGTAGTTTAGGGTCATCTTGGACCAAAACTTGGGGTTATTTAACATTCCCCTAAATATACATATACATATATGAATAAATTCTTTAAATAAAAAACATATACACAAATATACATTAAAAATATTTTAAAGTTATTCTTTGTGTTGTGTATGTACTCCAAAAATAAAAATAAAAAATAAAATCATATATTAAATGCATGTGACTTGTTTCAGTGATAGAATTTTGAATTTGAAAATAATCTAATACTATTTTTCTTATGCATTTATATTTTTTGTAAAATAGTTTCAAATGCCAAAAAGTATCGCAGATTTAATATCAATGCCGCTCTTTTACTCTACAATCAGTATCTGTGACCAAAGCCTTTTATAATTGGAGCATCTCATCAAACTGTTCATTGAACAGATCCTACACAATAATGCATTTCAGAATATTTATCGAAAAACTAAAATAAATAAAAAACACATATATATATATATATATATATATATATTTTCAATTGTGTCTTCTGCATCACGAATAAAAAACAAGATAAGAACGGGTTTCAACCGTTTCATTAAAAACTACAAATAATGACTAGATTATGAATGCAGTAATGTGGGGTGCGTCATCACATCAACCAGAACGAATCTGTTCTGAAAAAATATATCTACGTATATATCTATATATACACATATAGATGAGAATAAATTTGGAACCAGCTTGGAACTGATACAAAACTCGTTATTCCGTCGCTGAACTTGAGCGTTCCCCCGCGTTCCCCACACGCGTTCCCACCATGGGGTCTCCAGTCACGCATATAGAAAACAGGAAAGCAGTATGGGAATGACTGGGGGGGGGGTGGTGGGTGTGACGTGGACGTGGGTGTGCCATCGGAGTCGAGGATTGCGATGCGGCCGTCGTGAGATCCTCACACCGTAATCTCAATATCACGGGGCAAAAGATCGGACCCGGATTTACAGAATCCATGCTGGAAAATAGTGAGATTCGTGCCAGAGATTAGAGAACCTTGCCATCGATGCATGCACGGGGGGAGTAAGTGGAGTGTTGCAGAGACGGAGGATGCCATCTAAGTAAAAGCACCCTCCTCAGGGGGGGCTGGCTGGCTCTCGGGCACAGATGCGCCAATTTTAGAACCTTTCGATGCGAATCCGCGGCGGTCGTCCCACACTACAGAACGACAATTAGATGCTGCGTGAAAAGGCGGGTGATCTCTCACTGTGGAACGTTCTACAACAGCATCTTGTCCTTGGCGCATGCCGAGACAGCGGCGACTGTACCGTCTCATTCTCCTTCGCGGATATATAGGCTCATGCACGCTCTGCTCGCTCGGCACCACCCTCGCCCCGCTTCATACTTCTCTTTTGGGTGCTGGAGTTTGTTGTCGCTCGCTGGTGGCGAGCGCTATCCTGAAGCTACCAGAATTGTGGGTTCCTGATTGACGGGTTTCATTGAATCTTGGTCCTGTGGTAGGTCTGCTGTAGTTGATCAGTTTCGTAGAGAGTCGTTGTTCGACGGTGGAGAGGTGTTGATGTTGAGGGGGTTTTGATGCCGACTGAGCTCGGTTGACCTGCTTGGATGCTGGTGTAGCGAAGTCCTCGTGAACATGGAAGGGGGTAAGGTCCGACATAACCCGCTCTATGCGCCGCAGGAGGGCCTTGAATTTGGCGGAAACGCTACAAATAATGTCGCAGTATCGGCGGATCCTCCCGCCAGCAAGGTTGTCAATGATATGGAGGGTGAGGAGAAGAGCAGCGGTTACGTCTTGGCGTTCTGGCGCCTCTTTCAGTGCGCCGATGGAATAGATATTCTGCTGATGATTTTTGGGACTCTTGGAGCGATGGTCAATGGGCTGACGCTGCCAGCCATGCTGATTATCCAAGGCAGGTTGATCAATACCTTCGGGAACTTACAAGACTCGCCCGAGCTCATCTATGATAGTATCAAGAAGGTGAGCTTAGGTCACCGGGTGCCCATTGATGTCGGCTGCGTCAACCTTTTTTCTTGTTTCTGTTATTATCATTATTATTTTTTCTATTCAAGACTGGTTTTTGGTCAGGGGGTTGCGAATTGGAATTTGCTCAAGGCGGAGTGCTGACGAGTGGGTGGAATTGGTGGATGGGGTGATCAGTTTTCTTTGTACTTCGTGTACACTGCGGTTGTGGGATGGGTCTCTGCCTACTTAGGTGAGTAGCGTCTTGAGCGTTTGCAACATTCGCAACCAATGCTTCTGCGTGTAACTGTTGGATTGCGCCACGAAAGGCAGCCTGTCATAATTCTTGCTCGGGGTGTTTTCTTGGCTGCAGAGGTGAGCTGTTGGATGTGCACGGGGGAGCGACAGTCAGGTCGCATTCGCGCCAAGTATTTGCGTGCGATATTGCGCCAAGAAGTTGCGTACTTTGAAAGAACTCAAAGCAGCACCGCCGAAGTGGTGAACAATGTGTCGGCTGATACTTTGCTGGTGCAAGGAGCGATGAGCGAGAAGGTCTGTTTAATCCCACTCTAGGGATTGAAACTCTTCGGCACAAATTACAGTTGTATTCTCATGAAATTTCTCTCCAGCCACATGGTTAACTTATTCTGTTACTCCATTTTCCCTCAGGTTGGCAACTTCATTCAGAACATTACACACTTCGCAGGTAGCTACGTCGTTGCATACGTGCAAGTATGGCGAGTGGCACTCGCGGCAACCCCGTTTGTCCCTCTGCTTCTGATTCCGGGAGCTTTCTACAACCGCGCGGTGACAAGCCTTGCGGGTCGAATGCAGGCGGCTTACAATAAGGCGGGAGCCGTCGCCGAAGAATCCATCTCGTCAGTTCGGACAGTGTATTCATTCGTTGGTGAGACAAAAGTGGTCTCATCGTATTCCAATTCTCTAGATGAGACTGTGAAGCTGGGAATCAAACAGGGGCTGGCCAAGGGCTTCGCTATGGGCTCTGTGGGAATCAATTTTGCCATCTGGGCGTTCGTGGGATGGTACGGGAGTGAGCAGGTCTTGGCTGGTCGGGCAGATGGTGGCAACATTTTGACGACTGGAATAGCTATCATTTCGGGTGGATTGTAGGTGCTTCTGCAACTTTTTACCCGCATGTCAAATTCAATTTGTATCGGTTCGTAATGCATGACTGGATGGCGCGGTTGAGTGAAGGTGGCGGTGCCGAATGAGGTGCCATGTCTATGTTGCAGGGTGTTGGTTGGATCTTTAAGTTGTTCTTGTAATTGCCTAAATGAGGTGTGTTCATGTTTATGTATCAGAGCTCTAGGGAACGCGATGCCAAATTTCAAATCGTTTGCAGAAGGTTGTTCAGCTGCTTCGCGCATCTTCGCTCTTATACGCAGGGTTCCACCAATCGACGCGGACGATACTACCAGGGAGACCTTGGATAAAGTTACAGGCGATCTCGAACTGCGGAACGTTGACTTCTCGTATCCGTCTCGCAGAGATGTACCTATTTTTCAGAATTTCAGTCTACAGATACCAGCTGGTGAGTGTTGGTTTCTCAACTTCAGGGTCATGTAATAACAGTGAATTGATTGCGACCTATGCTGAGTATTTTCTATTTAAATTTCTGCTGAAACTGGTGAGACGAATTATGCAGGCAAAACAGTAGCTCTTGTCGGCCAAAGTGGGTCCGGCAAATCAACGGTCCTTGCGCTACTGGAACGGTTTTACGACCCTCTCGCTGGAGAAGTTCTTATTGACGATGTAAACATCAAAGGTTTGCAGCTTAAGTGGCTCCGGCGCCAGATTGGTTTGGTGAGTCAGGAGCCCGCCCTTTTTGCCACTTCGATAAAGGAGAACATTTTGTATGGTAAAGATGGGGCGTCAGAAGAAGAAATCGTGGAAGCAGCGAAATCGGCTAATGCTTTCAATTTTATTACTCAATTACCGCGGGGCTTCGATACTCAGGTGTGTGAAGAAACGCATTCAGTTCTTGAATTTGGTTTGATTGTCGGAGCGGAAAGATTGTGTAATATGGCTGATTGACGAAGACAGAGACTAAGAATAGGGACGTTCACAGGTTGGAGAGAGAGGAGTTCAAATGTCGGGTGGCCAAAAGCAGCGTATCGCCATAGCCCGAGCATTGCTCAAAAACCCCCCCGTAATGTTGCTAGACGAGGCAACCAGTGCATTGGATGCCGAGTCGGAGAAGGTGGTGCAAGCAGCCCTTGAAAGAGCTGCCGAGGGACGCACCACTGTCGTTGTTGCGCATCGTCTTTCTACAATCCGTAATGCAGATTTGATTGCCGTTATACAATATGGGAAGGTGAGAATCACTCCATTTCCATCTTTTAGTCGTCCGGAGATTGTTAGCCCGTAATCATTACTTCCAGGGGCTCATGAACCACTTGTCAGAGAGTTTTGCCATTTTCTTTCGTCTTTGGCAGTGTACTCGGCATCTGAAATGTGGAATCCTATCGACAGGTAATAGAAATGGGGACTCACAACGAGCTCTTGGCTAAAGGCGAGCAAGGTGCTTTCGCCGCTCTCGTGCAGTTACAACAGGCTCACCAGGAAGCAGAAGCAGAAGCAGATGACGAAACTGTCATTGCAGATTCAAAAGTCGTGCTGGCTCGGAGCCATAGTTCCTCTCTCCAGAAGCGAAGTATCTCTTCAGGCCGGAAATCATTCGACGAAGTCAGACTGAGCCACTCGAAGAGCCGAGATGGTATATCAAGTAATTTGGTCCTTGGAGGAGACAAATCGAAGGTGAAGCCTCAGATGCCGTCGTTTCGTAGACTGCTTGCGCTTAACCGGCCGGAGTGGAGACAAGCGTTGCTGGGGCTAACAGGGGCTATTGCATTTGGGTTCGTGCAACCCTTTTATGCGTATTGTCTTGGTGGCATGATGGCCGTCTTCTACACACCAGACCGAAATAAACTGAGGCACGATGTTAAGGTCTATGCAGGGGTATTTTGCGGTCTCGCAGTTGCTGCCTTCGTTGTGAATACTCTCCAGCATTACAATTTCGCTACTATGGGTGAATATCTTACCAAGAGGGTCCGTGTGAGAATGTTGACGAACATTCTACGGTTTGAGGTTGGCTGGTATGACCGAGACGAAAATGCAAGCGGGGCGGTCTGCTCTCGTCTCGCCTCGGATTCCAACATGGTAAGTTGCTCGTACTCTCTCTCCATTTTCATATCTGTAATTTCAGAAGCTTTAATGCAATCGTCTCGTCATTGGAAAGGCATCCTCCGTTCACTTGTTAAAAATGGAATCTTCATTGCTGCTCGGCTTGACACCAATCGTGCTTCGTTTACTTGCAGGTGAGGGCTTTAGTGGGAGATAGAATCTCATTAATAGTACAGACTGCCAGTGCAATTCTTGTGAGTTTTGGCATTGGTTTGAGTTTGTCGTGGAAGCTGGCGTTAGTTGTAATGTCCATACAGCCCACCATCATCCTGTCTTTATACGTTAAGAAAATTCTTCTCACGGGGTTCGCGAAGCAGACGGCTAAGGCTCAGCACGAAGGAGCACAAGTTGCAAGTGAAGCTGTGTCACAACATCGCACTGTCACTGCTTTCTCTTCCCAAGATAAGGTGCTGGCACTCTTCGAATCGAAATTGGTGGGACCTAAGAAGGAGGCTTTCAAGAGGGCCCAAGTAGCTGGGCTTGGGCTAGGCGCTGCAAATTTCTTTTTATATGCTTCGTGGGGACTAGACTACTGGTACGGTGGAAAATTAGCTGGGGCGGGTGAAGTTTCTTTCTCAGAAGTGTTGAAGACCTTCTTCGTGCTCGTCAGTACTGGTCGAGTGTTAGCAGAGGCTGGTGCCCTTGCTCCTGACCTTGCCAAGGGCTCACAAGCTATTGCCTCGGTGTTTAACATCCTTGATCGCGACACGGAAATTAACGCTGACAACAAAACAGCTGAGAAAGTGGACAAGGTGGAAGGTCACATTGAGATGAAAAACATTCATTTCTCTTATCCCGCTCGACCCGATGTGATAATTTTCAAGAACTTCAATCTCTCAGTTCGTGCTGGCCAGACGGTGGCCATGGTTGGCCAGAGCGGGAGCGGGAAGAGCACCATAATCGGGCTAATTGAGAGATTCTACGATCCCATTAAAGGCAAAGTGCTCATCGACGGGAGAGATATCAAGACCTTGCACTTGAAGTCTCTGCGGCGACATATTGGACTTGTCAGCCAGGAACCTACACTCTTTGCTGGAACTCTCCGTGAGAATATTGCATATGCGAGGCCTGACGCTACGGAAGCTGAAATAATTGAAGCTGCTGTTGCTGCAAATGCGCACAATTTCATAAGGTAATTAAATTGACTTTTTCATGTCGAATTATCAGGTGAATTCTACGTTTGAATCTGTGCTTTTTTCGAGATAGTCGCGGATTAATGTACCTGATGAACCACTCCACGTTGGTTCAGTGCTTTGCCGAAAGGATACGACACGTTTGGGGGCGAACGGGGACTTCAACTGTCCGGCGGACAGAAGCAACGGATTGCCATTGCGCGTGCCATTCTGAAAAATCCTGCGATTTTGCTTCTGGACGAAGCGACCAGTGCCTTAGACGCTGAATCTGAGCGTGTTGTACAAGATGCATTGGATCGGATGATGGTTGGCCGAACGACTGTGGTTGTTGCGCATCGGTGAGTCTAGCTTTTACTCACAGCTGCAGGCCAAATCAACATTGTAGCGTTGAAATTGGAACCGCATTCCTCGTGATTAAATTTGAAGGTCTAATATTAACGGTTAGCTTGATGGCTTTATTGGCAGTTTATCCACCATAGCCTCTGCGGATACGATAGCTGTAATGCAAGATGGGATAATCCTGGAGCAAGGATCACACGAGCAGCTAATGAGCAAAGGTGAAGGCAGCGCTTACTTCTCTCTTGTCAAGCTCCAGGTAGGCTTGAAGTAAAAGAAACTGGCTGGATGACTGGAATCTACAGAATCTAGTGCCGCAATCCGCATTCTGTGGAGAAACCCAAGGTGAAAGTTTAAGAGAGAAGGTCCGCATTCCGTAGGAGTTTCTTGTCCTTGACGCGTCTATTGATAGCAGGGCCTCCTTTTTGCCTTAAGACTTAATTGCATGCTAAAAAGTAGGGAGAATAAAGTGGCCGATGGCAGTCGATGTTCTTTCTGAGAGGCTGAAGAAAGAGAAAGATGGGCTTTGGAGGTTTTAGACCTGTGATAAGCTCAGATGAAGCTTTCTAGTTCTCGTTATAATCTTATTTCTTAATGTTTTGTTCTTGTGAGCTTAGAGAAGTATAACAAACTTTGTTACAGAAGTTTATGCTTAATTATGACTTGCTTTGTTATCGTTTGCTTATTAGTAGAGTTTTTTGCAAGTGAATCATAAACTGCACGTGCAGAATTTTATTTTCCTGAGAAGGGTTTCCTCTATCTTCTCCTTCTTAACATGTTCAATGAGGAACTTAGAATTTTAGCTACAATCGATAGGCGGGATAAGATCAATGATTGGGAATCAAAGAGATTGTAACCAAAACGACGCCATTTAGTACCTAAGGTAGATGACTAATCTGCTTCTAATCTTTTACGATAAAAAGATTTCTGACTTTATTTCAACTTATTATATTTTAATGGTTGCCTGGCTTAGTGGTTCTCACCCAAGGTTGTTATTGACCAATTTTTTTCAATATGTCAATTTTAAAAATAAAGACTTGTAATACGATTGGTAGTTATTGAAAAAGTAGAGAGCTTAGATAATTTCCAATATAGTTATTTCTAAATTTCCAACAAAGATTGTTGGTAAAATTATTTTCCCTCATAACATCTTGCAACATGTAGGATTGAATTTGTGTTTTCCACTTTAGTCTTATTTTAGCATCTTGGTTCTAAAAATTGAAATATCTACTTGGATGATGATGCCTTAGAGGTTCTTATAGCATCAATGGAAGGGTTCATTAGGAGTTGGTGGAATGTTCACATTGTGTCAATAGACCATGGTTGTTCAATCATGTGTGGAAAAAGGCTATCTTTATCCTTGACCTAAACTTCTTTGCCATCTATGTTTACATTGACAAAGAAAATACTATGATAAAATTATTCATTAGATTAAGGCTTCTACCTTGGTCTATTCTAATTGAATTAACAACAATTGCACCTCAAGATTTGAGTATAAAGATTAAAGATAGCTTTATATATTGAGGCACTAAAGATAAAGATGGCCTGTGCCCTCATGGTTTCTATAGTTTTAAAAAAGGATGCAAAGTGGAGTAAGTACAACAAGAAGATAAGGTGAAATCGGAGTTAGTAGTTGCAATGACAAACTTAGGCAAGTTTGCAAATATCAACTCCATTTGCACCATCCTAATTGAAAAACTTTCTAAAGAATTAGCTAGAATTTATATTAGTTTTTTTTATTGAATATACATGTCATTGATATTGGATTAAATGAAGAGAAGATTAAGAAGGATATGGACTATTTATAAAAACATGTTGTGATAGTTTATCTTGATGATAAGATCACAAATTTCTTGGTAGAAGACATGCATTCTTCAACCATTAATGTTGGGCTTTAATCCAAGCCAACTTGTCAAAATAAAAATGCCAAAATGTATTATGCTAAAAATTGTCTTAGATGACTTCATGAATAGTGCAGAAGACATTCTCAAAGCCTAGGACTATTCAAGAGAGGGACTAAAACAACAAAAAAAAAATTGATTAGAAGTTTAGTAATATGTTAATAACAAGAATTCCATATAGTCTCATAATTGAGGTAATTAACCTAATAATTGGTAGTATTCTATACATATAAGTTGATTATAATAGTCTTCCTATGTAGTGCCGCTATTATCTCTCAACCTCACATCTCATACAAGAATGTTCATTGCTACCAAAATAATGCAAAAACAAATTTTGTAGAAGTATAATTTAGAGCTCTCCTAACAATAGACCAACCTATATTGCATCTAAGGACAATATTCTAAACATATTTAGACTAAAAAGCTCCATTAGTGTCTAAGATCCCTTCCTCTACTATCTATCCAAGTAATAGAGATACTTCCATCAAAGACGTTGACTTTTGATTCTTTTACAAGCTGTGGTCTATTGATTCAAAATAAAAAACCACACCAAGCATGATATGACTATGTTTGGTGAAATTGAGTGGACCTTAATGACTTGCAATAATCAGGATTAAGTTGGGCAATTTGGTTTACTTAAGAAAAAAAAACAAGGATCAAAATCTTTGTTGAATACAAGAAATTTTTTGATATCAAGAAATTTTATAAAATATGCAATGACTAGAACAATCAACTATATGTTACAATATCCACTCTAGCTTTCAAGCTAATGATATAGTTGAAAGAAGTAAGAGAGCATTAAGTCACTAAGCATGATCATTTATTTGCCATTTAAAGATAAAAAAGCCAATCTATACATCTATTAGAAATCCTAGAAATCCACGAACTATCCATAAATAGTCTACAAATAGAAAACAAACCAAAGAACAAATACCTTTCAAATACTTTAATACTACTTAGCAAGTTAAAAAGACTTGTTAACAACCTACTTACCATTTTGGCGTACATAGATTGGATAAAGAATAAATATAGCTTAGTTGGACTTGATAGATTAAGTATGCCAATCAATCCCTTCAAAGATACTATATATACATCTCTAGCTATGGTACATGATTTTGTTCTATCTCAATTAAACATCAATCTTAATTGTGGTCATATTTCTTATTCTTTTATAATATCAAGGATATGAATCTTAAAGAACTAAAAAATCAATAGATTCTTATATCACTCAAAAAAACTAGATAATTACTCAAAGATAGTATAATATTAAACTAAAATGACTTTTCTGAGAGACAAAAAATAACTAGAGTCTCTTGAAAAAAGATTTTCTTGAAATAAGATTAAAAAAAACTAAGGCATTTACAAGAGTGAAGAAGGCTTCATTCTTGCCTTTATATGTACTATTTAATTAGGAGTTACATGGCAACATTCTATAGGACGTCCAATATGTGTCCAACTTGCAAAATATATATTTAACTTATATGACAAGTTTCTTACATGTGTGCCTCATAGTTAGTTTGTTCCACAAGCTACTAATATGTATGACACATGGCTAACTTATTGGCCAAGTTTCTAACCTGACTATTAATTACAAATATGTATAAAATCAAATATACGTTTATAAAGCTTTTAAGAAGTTTGGCCATAAGATAATATTAAATCTATCTATATTTACCTTCTACCTAAGATTTCTTATCTAAATAAATATGTATATTTGTGACATTACCTCCCTATATTTTGATCTTTGTTTTCTTTGAAGGTAGTTCATAGATCTTCTCAGCTATTAATAGTATTTCATACAAGGACAAAAAAACCACCTTGATATTTGATTATAGTTGAAGCCTTTATATCTTCCTTCAAATAAAAAATTTAGAACACCATCCAAGGTAGTTCCTACTTCCAATGATATCACTAAGCAACAAGAATCTCTTCCAAGGTTGTGATACCAAACACGTTGAATTTCACCATTTATTTGAAGAAGAATATAACATTCTTGAAAGACTTCATTTCTATTGGGCCATCTTCAAGGTTGTAATAGCTATAATATCTTATCCAATAACTTAGTAAATAATAGCTTTTAAATTCAATCTATTGATTGTTGGTTCTCCATCTCTGTAATGCCACAAATATATAAAAATTATAAATAAATATAGAAGATAGAATGCAATCTTGCTTAAACTACTCTTTTTTTATAGTAAAGATTTTCTATTTTTTATTATAGTTTTGATAGATGTCAATAAAAGCATCAACATTCTTTATTATATTTACAAGATTCTAGGCAAGCTCTTGTGTGTGCTTACTAATATCATATTCACACTAATGAACAATATATTTTAATCTATTTCAACATCACTTTAAATCTGAAACTTCTTTAATATCATATTTTTTTTTTTTTTTATTGTCTACTTCTATAATAGAAGATGGTATTTGTTATCTTTTTGATATATTTATTATCTTGTATGGCTCAAAAAAAGATACATGGAATATAAAATAGATCTTCATAGACTTCAATAGATATAATTGATAAGCAACTAAATTGATTTATTCAACTTATCTTAAAGACAAATAGCCTTAATATTATAACAAAATAATTATACTTTATTTTCAACATGGAATTAAAGTTGATCTTTATAATAGGCATTTGTATTGATTTTTAGTTATTTTTGAGTTTCTATTAATTATGCTTTTATTGTTGTATGTAGCTTTGACAAATAATTTATTAAATCTTTTATCATATGATTATCAACTTTTGAAAAGTTAAAAATATCAAATTATAGATGATAATCAAAATTAGCAAAGAAAGGTATTTTTTGAATAGAAGAATATATTATATTATTATAAGTAAACTCTACCAATAGTAAAAGAGTTATCGAATCACGTTATTGGTAGATAATGGTACACCTTAAATACTCCTCTAAAACTTGATTCACCTACTTCAATTGTCTATTAGTTTTAGAATGGAAAGCCAAAGATAGTTTTATGTCAACTTTTAAAATCTTAAAAAGAATTTTCTAAAATCTTAATAAAATTAAATTCCTCTATCTAATATAATATCTCTTGGTAATTCATGATAGCAATTAATGTTAACAAAAAATTTAATTATTTCTTTAGCAATAATAGATTTTGCATATAGTACAAAATGTACCATCTTGGTGAATTAATTTACTATCACAAAAGTAGAGTCATAAGAACTTGAGACTTCAAGATCCATGATAAAATCCATAGAAATAGAAGACCATAGTTGTTCTGAAATAGGTAATGGCTGAAAAAGTCCATTAAATCAATAATGAGGAGTTTTTGATCTTCAACAAATATCACATGATTTTTCAAAGTCTTTAATTTCCTTCCACATTTGAGGCCTCCAAAAATCTTTAGATATTAGCTCCACAATCTTATTGTATCTAAAATATCAAACTATTGGAAAGTTGAGATAAGCTTGATAAACATATAATTAAACTTTACGATTTGAAACATATAATTATACCTCAAAGTAAAGTAGGTTGTTTTTAAATTCAAACTTGGAAGTATCATAAAATTTTGAAGAATTTTTTTTAATATTACAAAAAACAATCAGAGGATATACTTAATTAAAATTTCTTAAATAGATTTGAATCAATAGTTATTATTGATTTTATTGCTTATAGATAAAATTTCTCTAATTCTAAAAAAATAGTCCATTATTGATTAAAAACTACATTTCCTTCTTTTGATGCAAGATAAGTTTATTTTAAAATAGCATCTAATAAATCTTAGTATTTTTTGGATTGATAAATGATCTTAAAATCAAAACTTAAAAAAAAAAAAAAAATACTCTAATAGACTTGATGATAATTCAAAACATGTGTT